TCAGGAGGGGAGGGCTTGAGAAGGAGAGCCCTTCATGGTAACCTCAGCTGGTGCAGGAATTGAACCCACACTGGTAGCATCACACTGCTTTGCAAACCAACCATCCAGCCAACTGAGCTAAATCAACTCTCACTGGAAATGATAACCAGCTATCATCACACCTACTTAAACTGTGATATAACAATATAATTGCACAGGTGGTGATATACCCAGCATGGAATTTGTATTCTAATCCAGACCAGGCAGAAAATAGGAAGTTTGTGCCTATCCACTATAAGGAGAGACTGATAAATGGGGATCATGGGATACTTTAGTGTTAAACTTAAGAGAAGTTTATCTGTGAGGCAGAGAGTCATATGAAAGATCTAATCTAGAGAAGACAAGGGGCAGAGGGTCAAGTTAAAAGATCTAATCAAGAGGAGATGAGATTGGTTAGGATGGGGGAAAGAGACTAACTGAAATATCACAATGTGATTGAGGAAAGATTAAAGCAGGAGGTGGTGGAAAGATTTACTTGAAAATGAAGTAAGTTGAGTGAACTTTGTGTATGAATTGGCAATTGTTAAAGATAGTAGGACTTCTTGCACTATTTGAACAAGACATTTACATTTCCTGAAGGTTTGGGTACTAGGTTAAATCTTCACCCATAAACTGCCAACTTAAGACCTCTGTGCATGAATTAAGTTTGGAGAGTGAAGTGAGGCCAGTTTTGGAATACTGCATTTAACTGAGTGTAACATCTCAAACATTCACTTTTTCCCAACCCCACACTGCCACCAAATTACAGTTGCCATAATGTGTACCATCTACAGGATACACTATAAGAAATCTCCAAAGCTCCTTCATGAATAATGAAAGATAAAAACTCAGTTGTGTGCAAAAATAACTCTTAAAAACCCTTTCCAAAACTTTGTGCTTAAGGTGAGTTGTCTTAATGTTGATTCTTTTGAAAGGAATGGAGATATTACTGGAGGTTATTGATGGATCAAATGGTATTGCCTAACAAGGACCTTGGGAAATAAGGCAGGGCAGGTGACTGAGGTGTCAGTGGGGGAGCACTTTGGGACCAGTGACCGTAATTCTATTTGTTTTAAAATAGTGATGGAAAAGGATGGACCGAATCTAAAAGTTTAAGTTCTAAATTGGAGGAAGGCCAATTTTGACAGTATTAGGCAAATACCTTTCAAAAGTTGACCAGGGGCATATGTTCACAGGTAAAGGGACAGCTGGAAAATGGGAAGCCTTCAAAAATGAGATAACGAGAGTGCAGAGACAGTATGTTCTTGTTAGGGTGAAGAGCAAGGCTGGGAGGTGTAGGGAATGCCGGATGACGAGAGAAATTGTGGTTTTGGTCAAGAAAAAGAAGGAAGCATATGTCAGGTATAGATAGCAGAGATCAAACGAATCCCTAGAGGAGTATAAAGGCAGTAGGAATATAGTGGAGATGGAAATCAGGAGGGCAAAAAGGGGGCACGAGATAACTTTGGCAAATAGGACTAAAAGGAGAATCCAAAGGGATTCTACAAATACATTAAGGACAAAAAAGAGTAACTCGGGAAAGAATGGGGCCCCTTGAAGATCAGCAAAGCTGCCTAAATGTGAAACCACTGGAGATGGGGGTGATAAGAAATGAGAATTTTGCATCAGTGTTTACTGCAGAGAAGGATATGGAAGATATAAAACGTGGGGAAATAAACAGTGACATCTTGAAAAATGTCCGTATTACAGAGGTGGTAGTGCTGGATGTTTTAAAACACAAAGTTGAATTAGGGAAGTGATTTCTGGGCCCCTTGCTGAGATATTTGTATCATTGATAGCCACGGGTAAGGTGCCTGAAGACTGGAGGTTGGCTAACATGGTGCCACTATTTAAGAAAGGTGGTAAGGAAAAGCCAGGGAACTATAGACCGGTGAGCCTGACGTCAGTGGTGGGCAAGTTGTTGGACGAAATCCTGAGGGACAGGATTTACTTGTATTTGGAAAGGCAAGAACAGATTAGGGATAGTCAACATGGCTTTGTGCATGGGAAATCGTTTCAGTAACTTGATTCAGTTTTTTGCAGAAGTAACGAAGAGGAGCTTCAGTAAGGCATTTGACAAGGTTCCACATGGTAGACTGGTGAGCAAGGTTAGATCACATGGAATACAGGGAGAACTAACCATGTGGATACAAAACTGGCTCAAAGGTAGAAGGTGGTAGTGGAGGGTTGCTTTTCAGACTGGAGGCCTGTGACCAGGGATATGCCACAAGGATCGGTGCTGGGCCCACTGCTTTTTGTCATTTATATAAATGATTTGGATGCGAAGATAGGAGGTACGGTCAGTAAGTTTGCAGATGACACCAAAACTGAACAAAGAGGCCTTGGAGTGCAGGTTTATAATTCCTTAAAAATGGAGTCCCAGGTCGACAGGATAGCGAAGATGATGTTTGGTATGCGTGCCTTTATTGATCAGCGCATTGAGTATAGGAGTTGGGAGGTCATGTTGCGGCTGTACATGACATTGGTTAGGCCACTTTTGGAATACTGTGCGCTATTCTGGTCTCCCCGCTACAGGAAGGATGTTGTGAGACTTGAAAGGGTTCAGAAAAGATTCACAAGGATGTTGCCAGGGTTGGAGGGTTTGAGCTACAGGGAAAGGCTGAATAGGCTGGGGCTATTTTCCCTGGAGTTTCAGAGGCTGAGGGGTGACTTTATAGAGGTTTATAAAATCACAAGGGGCATGGATAGGGTAAATAGACAAGATCTTTTCCCCAGGGTAGGGGAGTCCAAAACTAGAGGGTATAGGTTTTGGGTGAGAGGGGAAAGATTTAAAAGGGACCTAAGGGGCAACATTTCCACACAGAGGGTGTATGGAATGAGCTACCAAAAGGTAGTGGTGGAGGCTGGTACAATTTCAACATTTTAAAGGCATTTGGATGGGTATATGAATAGGAAGGGTTTGAAGGGATATGGGCCAAATGCTAGCAAATGGGACTAGATTTATTTAGGATATCTGGTCAGCATATGGACTTCAGTTGGACTGAAGGGTCTGTTTCCATGCTGTATGAATCTATGACTATTCAATTATTTATGGCCCGCCATTACTGAGCTGGCAGTCTCACTGAGGAAGACCACAAGGTGACTTTTCTGTAGCAAAACAGACAGTAGTTACACTTTCCTGTTGCATCATTCTTGGGATAAGATGAAGGCAGCTT